TAACAGAAACCTAGTGAAGAAAAAAGATTTAGTAATATGTATATAAAACATATTTCGTTAGTTCGAGCTACAAATTATGAAATAAAAATATAAATTTTTTTAATACGTTACATCGTCAGCACAGAAAAACTATTGTTTTTTACATTATATTATATGAAATTAAAATATTCGCATTTTTTAACCTTTCCAAAGGCACATTTACCTAAAAATTCGGCTAGGAGCGCCTGCCAAAGGCGATGCGTCTTTGACTTTAGCTCATCTATGCCCAGTGAGTATTCAAATTTAGCTGGCATGGCTGGTTATTCGCTTTAACGAAATACTATTTTGTAGGTAATCAACTTCCGGCAGTGATTTTCTCTTACTGTAAATAAAAAAATATAAATAAATTATATAAAAATTTTTGTAAAAAATAAAAATTTAAAAAAATCAAAATAATAACAAAAATGTACTTGTTTATGTATTTGTAAACAAATTGTTAAGCTGATAATAATTTTGTGCATAAGCGCTTCCTAATGAGTCGTTAATATGCATAACATAATAAAAAGTGCTACTTAAAATGGCAAACAATAAGTGTTGTTCGGCTGTGCTTTCATAGCTTCATACACTATACATATATGCATACAAACAAAACCACACGTTGAGTTTGTTTATAATTTTCTATGCAGTGCCTATCACCAAACTTGTATGCACAAACTTTTAATGCCGTGTTAATTACTAAGACGAGACTATTTGACGCCTTCAATACATATTGACATATCGCGTTTATAGCAACGCTCATAACCAGGCGTGACTTACATTTTGCGGTTCAGCTACCGATATCGAAATAGGCAACTGCCGATCGGCTGAATATTTTATGCAAAACACTGTCACTGTCAACAATTCGTAGGCGTGTCAATTTTGTCACTTTGTTGGTCCGCTATGGTTTGGCGTATGCCAGTCTGCACGACATAAAATCGCTCATAAACACTTTTTCGCCCACTTGCCCATTCATATTTATTGTATTCAACGACTTTTGCGGATGTGTGCGAGTTTAGCTGCAGAAATGCATAAATTTCTTTTTTTGTTTTTGCAAATGTGTCTAAATTTTACAGTTCACTTTGATTTGCATGCACAATTTTCACTTGACAAGGTTGCCGTTCATTGCAGTTGATCGTCGCACATCAAAAGTAGAGTTAATAATAAGTAGCAAAAGTGAATTTCACTGCATATGCGACACCACTACACTTGAAAAATAATTTTTCTGCGAGTAACAATTTTTATGCGTCACTCGTAAAAATAAAAATTTCAAATTGTATGCATTTTTTTCGCACCACAATTTATACAATATTTTCAAAAGAGTTTGGTTTGGGAATGGGCAGTATTGCGCGTTTGGATTTTTTAAATCAGATATGGTAACCCTTCTGCAATATCAGGAAATATAGAAGTACTAAGTTTTTTGATAAATTTGGTTTCGGATTCAAAAATGCCTCTTATAAAGAATTTTTCAACAATCATCCCTTAGTATCGAAAAAGTTTCTGTTTACAAAAGTCTTGACTTTATCAGAAGCGTTTAGTACTACGAGGTGTTACTGATAACAGTATTTGAAACCTTCGACAGAGAAATTACCCGAAATGCAGATGCTCTATCCGGAACGTTTCAACAGCTTTGTAGTCTAACGAAAGAGAACATCGGCAATGAGTAAGAATTATCACAGTGACCGCCTATGCAGATACTCTTAGAGAAAAATGCAATGAAAATACGACAGTGTTGGCCTGCAAACCAACGTAAGTTTTGATCAGAAATACACAGAATTCGGAACTGCATATCAATCCGCATATCAGCAAAACACAAATTGTATTTAAATATATATTTTAGAACAATTTTAGGATCAGGTTTGGTTCAATGGCTAATCCTTACGATTGGAATCGTCTTGGACTACTAACAAAGTTAAAAATTCTGTATTTAGACCTTATAAGTCTATAAAGCGCTTTGAGGATAATACAACACTTCTTCGGCATTCTTTTGTTCGGAGAGTAACTGAAATCCCCGAAGCATTGACCTCTCAAAGGTGGAACATTCAAGAAGGTGTTTTTGGAGATGTCTCTACCTCATCTTCGTCCAAATAGCTTCTACAACTGGCAAAAGGTAAGATCATCTACCTTACGCCATGGGCACCGAAAGACTAATCACCATTTACAACCGGAACAAGAGCGTGAAGTTCCGACCCCTACTATCCGAGTCACTTTCCTGAAGGAGGCTGCACTAAAGATAGAAAACTCAGAAAACTTGAAACAAGTATTCTCCACAAATATTCTTCTTTTTCCAAGCTTTGACAAATTTGTAAAGGAGCTTACCACCTCCTTCAGCGGTTTCTACACACCCACATCTCCCTCAAAGATATGTAAGCTGGGAAAATACCACCAGAGATTTTCAAATGAACTGGCTCGGAATCAAAGCTTACCTTCGTGCTGATACATGTTCATTTAGAACCTAATGGGCCTGATAACAATTTTCGTTTTCATACACCTTCCGGCTATGTACTCGTATATGGGTGCTATATGCAGAATGACAATAAGTGTCATAGTTGGTGGGGTGTCTCTAATATCAAACTGATGTATGAATTTTCAATAAATAATTGACAGTGACATAAAAAGCTTCAATGGTTTTCTTTGATTAGAAGTTCCAATATATTCCCCAAATGTCACCCAAACTTGGCAAACCAAGTTTCAAAAATATTTGTTTATAATATACTCGTATGCAATATTACATAGCTTGTAAGAAGAAGCTTGATCAAATAATCACTTCGAAATGCTTAAAACCATTTTTAAGCGACGAAGGTGTGAGAGATGATAACTGGTGGGCTATCCAAGTAGAGGTACCGAATAGAACACGTCCAGCAAGCACTGAATCTTAAATTGAAAGCGTATAAATATAGCTTGTGCATGAACTAAAGCCGCTCGACCTTTCCAAGCGACATCGCTACAATTTATGGGCTCTTGAAAAGTTCCAAGAAGATCCGACGTTTTCAAGCCCAATATTTTTCATCAATTAGTCGCATTTTTGGTTCAATGGGTTTGTGAATAAGCAAAATTGCAGCATTTAGGACGAAGAGCAACCTGAAGAGAATCAAGAGTTGCTATTTCATCCAGACAAATCAACGTATCGGTGTGGTTTGTGTAAAGTCTAAAGTGTATGCGAATAATTCCTCATCGATTCACGTATTGGAGCAAAACTTCGCGCATGTCATTCGCCTGTTACCAGTCGGAATGCTCGAGCAAGTCATCGAAAATTGGAATCAAAGGATGGACCATCTGAAAAGTAGCCGCGGCCAACATTTGAAAGAGATAATCTTCAAAAAACAAAAAAATGCTAAAGAACGTTCTGTTGAATGATAGTAAATATTCCCAATTAAAAAAGTAAAGTACCCTATTTTGAACTCGGTTATTTGAAAGATAACTGCTTTTACTTATTATAACTATATACTATTACTAAAATGTCGTCACATATTTTTTATAGCTGATAAATAGTAACGCAGCATTAGCCCCAGCAAACAATGTTCAAAGCTTGTTCATTGAATTGTTGCGGCAATTTTCCATAACAAAATAATTTTCGAGATATTTTCATATTAAATTATTCAAAAGCAAATAATAGAAACTGAATTACGTGGATCAAAAATCATTGAAACAAAAAATTTTCTATATGATTTTATAGTTGAAGCATCATAAATCAAAACTACTATGTTGAAAAGCAAAAACAAATGTTGACCCATATAATCTTATATACCCACATTTATGTATCAACATTCACTTTTAGCAAGGAATGAATGTGTGTAGCACAACACACAAGATTTGAGTTAATGATCTCAACTAGATTTGAATGCTGCAACAGAGTGAATTATGTCATATATTTTAATTTAAATCAACACATCAGAGGCAATTTTACCATTTCCACACAAACTTTTTATAAGGCAGACAACATTTTAGGCGTTACAACAACGCGGCGTCAAAACAAAACGACATAAATTCGAAACAGAAAAAATGAAATCATCTCAAGAACATTTCATGAGCAACACAACAAAAGTGAATAACAAGAAAACAAGTTTTCCTCGTCGCAAATGTTTGGCTATTTTTAGTTTTGTACACAACTCTCGGTCATTTCTAATGAAGCTCTTACACACTTATATATATGTAAGATTAATTAATTTTTGTGTTTGTGGTGCTCATTTTTACGCATTTTATTTTGGATTCTTGTTTAAATTTTATTATATCTGTTGTTTGTTTGTTTTTTGTTGACAAAAATTGATAGGCTCAAATGTAAGCTTTCTGTCACTTTGCTTTTATTTATCCGCCTCTTTTATTGTTTACCGCACTTTGGCGGCTGTGTATGTAGATATGTATTCAAACTATTTACACTCAAAATTAAGCAATAATTAAAAAAATATTTAAATAAACAAAAAAGTAAATTTTATAACATCATCAGCTGGAGCTTACCTCACTCGCTCATAAGCTTAATTAATTAAAGCAATTTAAAGTGAGTATTTGTTTTTGTTGGCATTTTACTAAGTCATTCGTTTGCTTTTATTCTTTTTGTTATAAATGAAACCGAAACTAAAAGCCATAAAAGCGGTTTGCTGCTGCTACGTTTATTATATGTGAGAAGTGGCAGTTGGAAGTTGTTGCTTTGCTTACATAAATGTTGCTGACACACATCCACCGCATTTGGCGCTATTGTTTTGGGGCGCGTACGCATGCGCCAAAAAGGCTATTTTTCCATTTAGCCGTCAAATAAGAATGGTGAACCAAACTTGTTAAGAGATAATAAAAATAAAATGACTATTATTGTTAATTTATAGGTTGACTAAATTATAAGCGATCATTTCAATGAAAATAGAACTATTGGTTCAGTGTGGTCATTGTGGTTCAATTTGACCAATTATTTGTTTAATAATGAAAGTATATTATATTAAGCCAGTGTTTATGATATCAACAACTAGTAGAATTAGTAATCGTTTTCAATAGTTTTGTTAGATAATAGTCAGAGCTTTCTGTTGGTATAGTGAAATTTAGATTTGTTATTTGCTTTTACGACTTTCAGTTTAACATATATGATTTTGGAATAGGCGAGCATATTTGAGATAATTTTAAGATTATGGCAGCCATTTTTTTTAAAAAGTTACAGTACGAAATACATATATGATCCATTAAACAGAAATTTTCAATCCAGAGCTTTTAGGTTACCTTTTATATTTCGGGATCAGAGAACAAAAAATAAATAAAATGTAATAATCGAAAAACGCCTTATTACTTTTCAAAACATTCTCGATTCATATATACTTATGTGATTTTGCATGCGTTGGAGTTAATTTTCGAAGCTCTATTGCC